GTGAGATTACAATTAAAATTGCAGAACAGGAGATAAAAACCTCTAAAGTAAGCTATCATCTGATTTTAAAATGCTTTTTCATGCAGGCTGTGAGTCACATTAAGGGGAGGAGTGCTTAGGGCTGCATGGACAGAAACAAAAGTGATTTAACAAATAAATGGCAGAGAATTGAGTGCAGGGGCATGATCTATACCAGGGGTGGCAAAATGGTAGATGCCCAGATGTTGCTGAACGGTATCTTTCATGATGCTTTGACATTCTAAGTGCTGGAAACCACTATGACGGTTGTAGTTAGCAAACATCTGGAGATCTACCTTTTGGCCAGCACTGATCTATACACTAAAACTGCTTCATTAAACTAAAGTTCTTTTGATGCCTAAAGTATCCCTTTAAATCTAAATCTAAAATCTCACCTTGAATGCTCACTGAATAACCCAGTTAGTGAATTCTCCTGATCAAAATACATTGCACTCCCTCCTGGTAAAGTAGATTCCCTTTTCTGGCACGGTGCAAACAGATTGTTCAACTGTTCTATGGTGCACAAAGTGCCCTTTCAAAAGAACACTATATCGTAATTAATACAAACCTGTGTTACTGCCACTATCGTGTTCTCCTCAGCGTTTTGTTTCAGCCCCCAGTAGCACCTCTAGTGGCTATCAGGGAGACAGCCACTAGAGGTGTATTTAACCCTGAAATGTACTACTACATTACAGTTCCTGCTCCCTACAAGAAGCATTATATTGGGCGATCACTGCATCTGATAGGTACAGTCCAGACATTGCCACACACGTGCCAAGTCTGCCTGAGAGTAACAGGTGATTAATCTTTATATTTTCATGTCTGGGACAGTACCTGGATTTACTGTAATAAAAGAACACTTCAAACACTAAAACCAAAAATCTGTTTTAAACATTCGCAATCAGGGCCGGCATTAGGGGTGTGCGTGCTGTGTGGTAGTGTGTAGTCCGGTGGTGTGGTCCGGTGGTGTGGTCCGGTGGTGTGGGCCGGGGGTGTGGGCCGGGGGTGTGGTCCGAGGGTGTGGTCCGGTGGTGTAGTCCGGTGGTGTACCATATTGCCTGTACCTGTCATTGGTACAGATAGTCATATCCTCTCCTCACGGTTCTGGCGTCCTCTTTTTCCCTCTTGACTATTACGTAATAAAAAAATGTAATTTACTTATGAAATCCTGAAAAATCAACAGCTTGCATATATAGGATTTTTTAAAAATACTTGTAAAACATTGAGTATGTCTTGATATGAGATTAATGATGGTTTGTATGACCCATTATGGATAGTAATGGGTGTTTTATTTGTTTATTCATGTGGTCAGTGTTTGAATATTCTTGTTTTTGTTTCACGGAGGAGAAAACACAGTCCAGGAATAGAAGATGCAAATAATGTTTAACATCCTGTTTATTTTGTGTTTTTATTCTCTCATACAGTATTTATTGATGATTGGGCTTATTTTGTAAAGTCTAAACATGTCGTGCTGAGATATTTACTCTTATTATTTCTAATATTGATCTAGCTAGAATCTGCTACAAGTTACATCATTTTACATTTTAACCCTTTCAATGATCTGTAAACATGGGATCATTTTGGTTTTGCACTGCAAAGTAATATATTCTGATCAAGCCCTACTTACCTCGCTCTCGCCCTGTCTGACTGTGAATAGCAGCTCCTGCGTTCTCCCAACATGTACAACTCCAATTCTAGGTACCTGACTATTTCCTAGTAAAATCACCAAATAAAGTTGAGTACATTTATACGTTTTTAGTTTTTAAAAATTAGTGAAGAGCAATCAATACTCAGAATTGCTGTTTTATCTTACGTTTATGTGCTAGCTAGACATCTCATATTTAAATGTCAAGCTATTTTAAAGGAACACTATAGGATCAGGAACACAAAGGTATTCCTGACCCTATAGTGTTAAAACCACAAACTAGCCTCCCTAAATATAGTAAAATCTTACTTGTATTCAAGTCTGCAGCTGTTGCCTCTGATCTGCCTGCTGACATTATCAGAAGTGGCGGTGTGAGACAATCACAATCCAATGCTTTCCCATTGGATTGGCAGAGACTGTAAAGTAGGCAGACCAGGGGCAAAGCCAGCACAAGTCAAACATAACCCTGGCCAATCAGCATCTCCTCATAGAGATCCATTGAATCAATGTATCTCTATGAGGAAAGTTTAGTGTCTGCATGCAGAGGGTGGAGACACTGAATGTCAGTCACACTGTGCAGCACTTCCCCAGGAAGCACCTCTAGTAGCCATATGAGGAGTGGCCACTGGAGGTATCCTTAGGCTGTAATGTAAACACTGCAATTTCTCTGAAAAGACAGTGTTTACTGTAAAAAGCCTGAAGGGACTGACTATACTCACCAGAACGAATACAATAAGCTGTAGTTGTTCTGGTGACTATAGTGTCTCTTTAAATGAAAAAAAAACAAAACCTGGTGGTGGAGTCCTTCCAGCACCCTTCATTAAGATGTGAGCTGGAAGCTAAAGGTTTGTGTGTTCCCTGGAGATGACTCACAGAAGATGTAACAGAGTAGCAGGATTATTATATATGTCCCCGGCTGACGTCTGCTGCAGGCTCCCTGTGTTCCCGCAGCTTGGTCAGTGCGGTCAATGGCTCAGTACATAGTGAGAGGTAAGACCAGTCCAGGAACACATTGAGGATAACATGAGCATGGCTGAGGAGGCAGGCGTATTCTGCAAAAACTGCAAATCATTTTGTTTTTGTTTTTTTTGTAATCACACCCAGACAGAATTAAGCAATGGCCAAACACCATATCTAAGAGGCCAAAATGTAGCAAAGTTGTGCTGGTACATAATATGTGCATAGTATTTAACTAACACTGTTTGCCAATATTAATCTAACCATTTTATATCCAAACTCTGCCCAGACTGCTGGTTACACTTATTTTTTTTTTTCACAATAATGTAGACCTGTGCCATTTTTGGACAAGTTACAGAGTCAAATTACAAATTCCAGTTTTGGTTTTCACATTTATAACTTTCACTGATTGATTAATTGGTTTCTTGTCACGTTTGGGACAACAGCAGTTTACCTCCATCATGGAATAACATTTGCAAAACAAAACAATGTATGCTATTTAACAAGGAAATAATCACTACTATGTTTTTTTTCTGTCAAATTTTGCATTGCATGTAACTATTTATTTTTTCACATATGTATTTAAAGGGACACTATAGTCACAAAAACAACTTCAGCTTAATAAAGCAGTTTTGGTGTATAGATCATGCCCCCATAGTTTCACTGCTCAATTCTCTGCCATTTAGGAGTTAAATTACTTTGTTTAAATAGCCCTAATCACACATCCGTGCATTTGACTTGCACAGCCTTCCTAAACACTTCCTGAAATATAACCTAGTATTGCACATTCAATTTAATCTAGAATTTCTTATCTCCCATTCTGTTAATAGCCTTCAAATCCTGCAGGGTCCCTTGTGTGTGATTAAAGTTCAATTTACAGAGCAGGGGATAAACACTTCTAAAGCAAGTTAACGTCTATTTTAAAATTAACCCATTTCTTCATGTTCTCTGTGAGAGTCACAGCCAGGGGAGGTGTGGCTAGGGCTGCATAAATAGAAACAAAAGGGATTTAACTCCTAAATGGCAGAGAATTGAGCAGTGAGGCTGCAGGCACATGATCTTTACACCAAAACTGCTTCATTAAGCTAAAGTTGTTTTAATGCCTTTAGTGTCCCTTTAATTTAATGATTTAATGGTGACTTTCACACCTTGTTCATACACCCTAGATGTGTATTCTGCTTTATCTCCCAAGTACAGCAATACCCCACATGCACACCTTTACCAGGTCTTTGGATAACTTATAGGGTCAAATTACAGACATGATATAATTTAGACATAATTATTATTATTATTATTTATAAAGAGCCAACAGATTCCGCAGCGCTGTACAATAATAGGTTTCTCTTCACTTGCTTCTCAGAGATACTATTTTCTGACATGACGCTCAACAAACCTTGGATCTATTTATATCCTTGGCAAACCTTAACCCTATTTAATTCTAATTAATTCTAACACACTAACTCTAACCCTGGAACCAAGCCTACCTGTGCACTGTTTAGGAGATTGACCTTCAAGCTGATTAAATTCTGTAAGAGTAAATAATAGTGATGACAAACCTTAACTGACAATGACCAAGTAACCAATCACTACTTCTGTCCCGCCTCCCACACTGCTGTACCCGGCTATCACCTGTCACTAACAGCATAGAATCCCAATGACCGGCTGTAAAACAGATTCTATTCCGAGTAACCGATAGTTAATACGTTTTAGTGCTATTTTGTTTTGGCTAATGGATACTTTTTGTTTATGCATTTACAGAGATTGAAACACTGAATGGACAAAAAAGTATTTAAAATAAGTAAAATGTTACTAATAATAATAATAATTAATAATATAATCACAATAATCGTAGAGTGGTTTGCAGCACCACCTAGTGGAAAAATTCACTCAGTGCCTTCGACAACCACAGCACAAAACCGCAAGCTGTTTGTTTGTTTTACTTTCTGAATTTAGCACTGTGAGGTAGAATGGGGTCAGTATGGGGTATACCTCACTATTATTATTATTATTATTATTATTACTGCCATTTATATAGTGCCAACAGATTCCATAGCGCTTTACAATATTATATGAGGGGGGATTTAACTATAAATAGGACAATTACAAGAAAACTTACAGGAATGAAAGGTGGAAGAGGACCCTGCTCAAACGAGCTTACAGTCTATAGGAGGTGGGGTATAAGACACATTAGGACAGGAAATATCAATCAAATAAGGTGGGAGTGAAGCAGAGCTGGAGGAGAGAGTAGAGTGCTGCCCTTTAGGAGAGAGCAAGGGACAGGTATGTGAGACAGAGGCTAGTCTGGGAGACCGTAAACTTTCCTAAAGAGATGGGTTTTAAGGCACTTCTTAAACAAGTGAAGACTAGGGGAGAGTGATGGGGGTAGGCAGGCTATTCCATAGGAAGGGAGCCGCCCGTGAGAAGTCCTGCAAGCGCGAGTTGGCCGTACGGGTGCGAGCAGCGGACAGGAGAAGGTCACAGGCAGTGCGGAGAGATCGAGAAGGGACATACCTATGGATCTGTGAGGAGATATAAGAGGGGCTAGAATTGTTCAGTGCTTTATAGGTGTGAATTAGTACCTTGAATTGACTCCTATAGGATACAGGAAGCCAATGTAAGGACTGGCAGAGGGGAGAGGTGTGAGAGAACCGACTAGAGAGGAAAATCAGTCTGGCAGCAGCATTCATTACAGACTGTAGCTGTGCAGTACGGCTTTTGGGAAGACCAATCAGGAGAGGGTTACAATAATCCATGCGGGAAATTACTAGAGCATGGTCAAGCTTCTTGGTAGCATCTTGTGTAAGAAAGGGGCGGATGCAGGCTATGTTTTTAAGGTGGAATCTACAGGATTTGGCAACATACTGGATGTGAGGCTCAAAGGTGAGGCCAGAATAAAGTATGACGACAAGACAGCGCGCTTGCAAGGATGGACTGACGTGGGTACCACTGACTTGAAGGGAGAGCGAGAGAGGAGTATCAGTATTAGGAGGAAGAGTGACAAGGAGCTCAGTTTTCAAGAGATTTAGTTTCAGAAAGAGGACATCCAGTCAGAGATGGAAGAAAGGCAAGCAGTGACACGTTGCAGGATGGCAGGGGTGAGATCTGGGGAGGAGAGATATATCTGGGTGTCATAAGCGTAAAGGTAGTAGTGGAATCCAAATGAGGCAATAAGTTTGCCAAGAGAGGCAGTATAAAGAGAAAATAGAAGGGGCTTTTATTCCATTTGACTACCTTGGTTATTGACCAAGCATTGAATCTCCTGAAAAGGGTCATTCACATAAAGATGAATGGTCAGCTCCCCAAGAATAAGATCATAATGCCATCCGTGTGGCTTTATAGGAAGACGTCTTCAACAGTGAGAAAAGAGAGGTGTCAACAAGAAATTCTGCAGCTAAAACAATGGCGTTAGCTGATACTAATAATCTTTCTACAGACCAAACCTTCAAGGCTCTGGACAAGGGTAATAGCCACTGCAGGATGAAGGCCTGCTCTTAAAGCCACCACAAACATATGGAAATAACAGGATACTGCAGTGACTGAAAGATAAATAAAGTTTAATCCAGTGTAACTCTGTAACCAAAAGCACTGTCTAACCCTCTCCGTGTCAGTCAGATATCCAAAAAAAAAAAAAAATGCTGGAAAAGTGTAAAACAAGTTTTTCAAGGGTGCACAGACACCACTCGTGGGTTATTGTTACTAATGCAGACATTTCGGATAAAAACATTTTATAAAATGTACAAACGCCCACAAACATAAAAGCTCTTATCAAACTTTTACAGACCCATCGCCTGACAAACCACAGAAGGAATCAATCCCACTACAAAGTCTGGACTCTGGCCCCCGACTCAGTACCAGTGTCCACCGGCACATCGTCACATGCGCATTAGAAAGAGCCAACATGCAGTTGAAGCTGGATGATCACCACCAATATATAGAAATATACAATATATAACAAATATATAAAAACAGCACCAAATTTACTTCGGGGCAGATTTATAGCCAATATTAAAGGAACACTATAGTCACCTAAATTAATTAAGCAGTTTTAGTGTATAGATCATTCCCCTGCAATTTCACTGCTCAATTCACTGCCATTTAGGAGTTACATCACTTTGTTTCTGTTTATGCAGCCCTAGCCACACCTCCCCTGGCTATGATTGACAGAGCCTGCATGAAAAAAAAAACTGGTTTCACTTTCAAACAGATGTAATTTACCTTAAATAATTGTATCTCAATCTCTAAATTGAACTTTAATCACAAACAGGAGGTTCTTGCAGGGTCTAGCAAGCTAGTAACATAGCAGGGGATAAGAAAATCTTAATTAAACAGAACTTGCAATAAAGAAAGCCTAAATAGGGCTCTCTTTACAGGAAGTGTTTATGGAAGGCTGTGCAAGTCACATGCAGGGAGGTGTGACTAGGGTTCATAAACAAAGGGATTTAACTCCTAAATGGCAGAGGATTGAGCAGGGGCATGTTCTATACACCAAAACTGCTTCATTAAGCTAACGTTGTTCAGGTGACTATAGTGTCCCTTTAACAATGAAAAGATCATGAATCAAAGCTGTACAACTGTCCTGAGTTTCAAGGGATAGTCCCAGTATTTGGCTTCCTCACCCACTATATGATTGTACCAGAACTCCTGCATTTTAAAAATATCATCCAAAAATATAAAATTGCACATGTGCGAAGTGCCCTTTATAGGACTTGTTGCACCACTAATACACAGCTTGTGCAATCTGTGGTTGTAAGTAAGGTAGCATTTTGTTTTTTGCCTCGTGCTGGTGTGGTGCTGCAGAGCTATCTTTCCTTATTCCATGGATGTGGTGCTGGGAACCTGGTGATATATTCTGCTTTATAAGCAATTATCTAAATTACATTATTTTATATTAAAATGGCTATAAATTTTATGACCAGAGTCATTCTGAGGACATAGAGTGTGCTGGGCTGTTATTATTATTATTATTATTATTCTGTTAACTGAGTACTTGATTGCTCAGATGCAAAGTATCCCAGGACAGTTTTTCTAATGTTGGCAAAAATGAAAGGGTTGCTTAGCAGCTTAATGACACATAAACATATCAGGGATTATTCATGGCTACACATGGTAACCATGACATTAATAGGCAGGTTTCCAGGTGCCCTTTGGCATGCTGGGAGCAGCGCGACATTAAACGGCTCAAATAACGAACTTCTGTTTCCTGCTTAGCGGAATGTTGGGAAACACAGAATCTGATTGGTTGCTGACATGAAATGATTTCTGCTGTCTTGTTCGTTTTATTAAAGGCACACTGTAGGCACTATAACTTTTTAATCTCCTTGAAGTGGTTATAGTGCCTGACATCCCTGGTGCTGTCCCTCCATTCAATGTCAAAGTGTTCAGTTTAAATCTAAATAAGGGGTCCCTGCCCACCCACAGCTCAGCCCCACTGGAGTAATGGCTAAGGCACAGATTACACACTTCCTTGTGGCCATAACGATTCATACCAGCAATGGGCGCTGTGATAGGCTGAAAGCGGTCAGCTGACACTCTCAGCCAATCACAGTGCTCAGGCTAATGCTATCTTACTTGCCAATTATAGTTTGCACAAATAATAATCTATTTGCATTAATGTTTTATACTGATAATGCCACTTTAACATGTGTGGGAGCCTGGAGTGTCCTTTTAATAATATAACCCTACCCAGTAAAACTAACTGTAACCTAACCTACACAGTGCACCTAATTTGTGTGGGAGCCTGGAGTGTCCCATTAATAATAAAAACCCCACCCAGTATAACTAACTGTAACCCAACCTACACAGTGCATCTAACGTGTGTGGGAGCCTGGAGTGTCCCTTTAATAATATAAACCCACTGAGTATAACTAACTGTAACCTAACCTACACAGTGCATCTAACGTGTGTGAGAGCCTGGAGTGTTCCTTTAATAATATAAACCCACCCAGTATAACTAACTGTAACCTAACCTACACAGTGCACCTAACATGTGGGAGCCTGGAGTGTCCCTTTAATAATATAAACCCCTCCAGTATAACTAACTGTAACCCAACCTACACAGTGCATCTAACGTGTGTGGGAGCCTGGAGTGTCCCTTTAATAATATAAAACCCACCCAGTATAACTAACTGTAACCTAACCTACACAGTGCATCTAATGTGCGTGGGAGCCTGGAGTGTCCCTTTAATAATATAAACCCACTCAGTATAACTAACTGTAACCAAACCTACACAGTGCATCTAACGTGTGTGGGAGCCTGGAGTTTCTCTTTAATAATATAAAACCCACCTGGTATAACTAACTGTAACCTAACCTACACAGTGCACCTAACGTGTGTGGAAGCCTGGAGTGTCCCTTTAATAATATAAACCCACCCAGTATAACTAACTGTAACCTAACCTACACAGTGCACCTAACGTGTGTGGAAGCCTGGAGTGTCCCATTAATAATATAAACCCACCCAGTATAACTAACTGTAACCTAACCTACACAGTGCATCTAACGTGTGTGGGAGCCTGGAGTGTCCCATTAAAAATATAAACCCACCCAGTATAACTAACTGTAACCTAACCTACACAGTGCACCTAACGTGTGTGGGAGCCTGGAGTGTCCCATTAAAAATATAAACCCACCCAGTATAACTAACTGTAACCTAACCTACACAGTGCACCTAACGTGTGTGGGAGCCTGGAATGTCTCTTTAATAATATAAAACCCACCTGGTATAACTGTAACCTAACCTACACCGTGCACCTAAAATGTGTGGGAGCCTGGAGTGTCCCTTTAATAATATAAACCCACTCAGTATAACTAACTGTAACCTAACCTACACCGTGCACCTAAAATGTGTGGGAGCCTGGAGTGTCCCTTTAATAATATAAACCCACCCAGTATAACTAACTGTAACCTAACCTACACAGTGCACCTAACGTGTGTGGGAGCCTGGAGTGTCCCTTTAATAAAATAAAACCACTCATTCAGGTGTGTGTTAACACAATGCCAAGGAGGAAAGACATCAGCAATGATCTTAGAGAAGCAATTGCTGCTGCCAATCAAACTGGGAAGAGTTATAAGGCCATTGCCAAACAATTTAAAGTCCATTATTATACAGTGAGAAAGAGATTATTTAAAAGTGGAAAACATTCAAGACAGTTGCCAATCTTCCTAGCAGTGGATGTCCCAGCAAATTCACCCCAAAGGTCAGACCGTGCAACGCTCAGAGAAATTGCAAGAGTTAAATGTCAGACGTTGTGAAAGTACAATTAGAAAAAGACTGGACAAGTATGGTTTGTTTAATTGAAGGGTTGCTGGCGAAAGCCTCTTCTCTATAAAAAGAACATGGCAGCACGGCTTAGGTTTGCAAAGTTGTATCTGAACAACATTTGGCAAAAATCAAACCCCGCATATCAGCACAAACACCTCATACCAACTGTCAAGCACGATGGTGGAGAGGTGATCATTTGTGCCTGTTTTGCAGCCACAGGACCTGGGAACCGTGCAGTTATTGAATTGACCACAAATTCCTCTGTTTACCAAAGTATTATAGAGTCAAATGTGAGGCTATATGTCCGACAGCTAAAGCTTGGCCAAAATTGGGTCATGCAACAGAACAATGATCCCAAGCACACCAGCAAATCTACAACAGAATGGCCGAAAGACAAATAATGTGTTGCAATGGCCCAGTCAAAGTCCAGATCTCAACCTGATTGAAATGCTGTGGGGGGACATTAAAGGGACACTATAGTAACCAAAACAACTTTAGCTTAATGAATCATTTTTTGTGTATAGATCATGCCTCTGAAATTTCACAGCCTAATTCTCTGACATTTGGGAGTTAAATCACGTTGTTTCTGTTTATACTGCCCTAGTCAAACCCTTA